GGAGCGGGCAGTGAGGGTGCCTCCTCCCCGCAACAGGCCCGGCCGGCTTGTCAGAGCTGAGGGGTTTGTACGTGGTCGGGTGCAGAGCGGAAAGCCACAGCCCTGTACTGTTCTCCGAAGCCTTAAGAAGTGGATGAAATCACGAAGTGCAGGAGCTTAGACTGTAACTGTTGGGGTAGGGGGCGAGGAACTTTCCTGCCTCCTTGTTGCGGAAAGGCTCCACAGGAGAAACATTTGATGCTGGTCACTGGATTTGTGCAGTTCAGCACTGTTCTGAACATTGGAGGGGAATGTGTAGCTCCCAGTCTTTAGCTGTCTTTGCAAGGGATAATAAAGATAATGAAAGTTTTCCTCAGAAATTGTGCGTTTATGTCTCTTTGTTGTCTTCTGGTTTTAAACCAGCTCTACTCATTCTGTCACAGTCTTTCCTAATATATTATTCCAGGATTTTTGGAGGGGGTTGAACTGGGGGCTGTGCTTTGCTTTTTATAACTTCTCAGATATTAAAGTGGTTTAGTAAGCAAGTTATGTCAAAGAGGCTGTGTTTCTGTTTCAAATCTTATCGTAGTGTTTATGCGGTAACAAACAGGATAATGTTAGTATGTGCTTGTTCTGTTGTGTAATAGCTGAAGGAGGATCTGCTCATGTATTAAGTAAAATTGGCGTGAAGTTTTTCTTCAGGCAGGTACAGGTGCTAAGTTTACGTAAGTGTTATACCTAAGGGCTCTGCTGTTCTATTGGTAAAACTATTTTGCTGATTCATATTTATGCTTGTTAGATTTATTCAGTTGATGACGATGAGAAAACTCTGTCCAGTCTGGAGATTATCGTGCCACGTGATTTAGCAGATGGATTCATCAATAATAAACGAGAGAGCTACAAGTTCAAGTAAGTAAAAGCCTTATCTTTGTGTCTTCTGCCTTTGGTGATTGACATCATTATGTGTAGCAATACAGATATATAGAACCATGAAAAACCTGTTCTTAAAATTAAGTTTTGGTATAGATAGGTTTCTTTTTATACAACTCCCTTGACAAGAGGAATACTCCAGCATATTATGCTCTTCACCTGAATTAGTTTGATAGCATTTGAAAAAGTTGTGGGGTTTTTGTCTATCCATTGCAAGTCATTATACATTTCTAAGTCTCATCTCAAAGACTACATCTTCATTTATCAGTTCTTCTAGTTTTACAGCTGATTTTGAATTTGCATATGAAAATTGAATGCAGGAATATGTATTCACCTGTGATCTAATGAGTTGGCATAGGCTGGCTAAAGACATGTTGATGTAAAACACTGTTTAGAAACTGTTTCAGACAGAACCAAAACATAGTAAAGAAAACCAGAGATTGTTAAAAGAAACAAAACCATGGTTGTAGAATGTAAATATTTTCTAGAAACTGAAAGTAAGTACTAGCAACATCAATCAAATATTTTTATCTTTTCAACAGAAAACTTGGAGGCAAGACTTTAAAATTTTGATGATGAGGAAAGCTAGATGTAGAACCACCTCTAATGACGAGGTTGAGGTTGTCTTTTTCCAAGTTGAATGTTCTTTATTTTTTATAATACTAAATCAAATAAATTTGTTGCTCTATGCTATTAAAAAAGAGAGCCCCAGATAAACATCTGCAGCTCAGACTGATGCAGTTTTACATCAGCTAAGGAAATCTGCTCTGCTTGGAAAGAGATGAGCGGCCCTTTCCAACTAGATTAGTAGGCAAAACTAGCTTAGGCTGTAGATGCCCAAGCCAGCTATAATGAATGCTGATATTTTTCTCTGACTTTGTTTAAAAAGTCTGTAGAGTTGGACTTTGAGAAACACTATGCCTTATTATCCGTAAGACAATGCAAATATAATGCTATGGAGTAAGCATTTCTTTTTCCTCTATGAAACTTAGACTTTCATGCAGTCTGTCTGTCCTGGTCACCTCAAACACTGTTCTCCTTTGTTTTTACTCTGTTATATGGGAATCAAACACAATAGTCTGAATTACTTGACTGATGAAGTGTTAGCAGGATAGAATATATGCATCTGTATTTTGTGTATCGCATTTGTCTGTGATACTGTACACACTGCATAATCCCTTGCAGTCCATGCTGCCTTTCTGTATACCTGGTGTCCATAGTGCCTTTCTGTATATCCTGTGAAGTTCTATGTGAGTATACAGTTCCAGGTAAGAGGGACAACACAGCAGGGCACAAGCAGTCCAGGAGGTTTTTGGACTGTGTGGATGCCAACTTCCTAACGTATGATTAAAAAGCCGATGAGGGGAGAAGCTCTGCTACACCTCATATTTGCAAACATGATGTGCTTGTTTTGGCTGGGATAGAGTTAGTTTCTTCATAGAAGCTGGTATCAGGCTGTGTTTTGGAGTTATGCTGAAAACAGTGTTGATAATACAGGGATGTTTTAGTTATGGCTGAGCAGTCCTTTCACAGAGTCAAGGCCTTTTCTGCTTCTCATCCCACCAGTGAGGAGGCTGGGAGTGCACAAGTAGCTGCGAGGGGACACAGCCGGGATGGCTGACCCCAGCTGACCAAAGGGATATTCAATACTATCTGATGTCATGCTCAGCGTATACAGCTAGGGGAAGAAGAAAGAAGGGAGGAAAGTTCGGAGTGATGGCGTTTGTCTTCCTAAGTAACTGTTACACATGATGGAGGCCTTCTTTCCTGAAAATGTCTGAACACCTGCCTGCTGATGGGAAGTAGTGAATGAATTGATTGCTTTGCTTTGCTTTGCTTACGTGCACGGCTTTTGCTTTACTTTTAAACTGTCTTTATCTCAACTCATGAGTTTTCTCACTTATACTCTTCTGATTCTCTCCACCATCCCACCGGGGTGGGGAGTAAGTGAGCAGCTCTATGGTCCTTCATTGCCAACTAGGGTTAAACCATGAAACATGGAAGAACTGATCAGGCATACTGAACCTGGGGGTAGCCCTGGCTGCAGTGGTCATGAGATAGTGAAATTCAGGATACTGAGAGAAGAGAGCAAGGCAAAAAGTAGAATCACAACCTTGGACTTCAGGAGAGCAAATTTTATCCTGTTCAGGGTCCTGCTTGAAAGAATTCCGTGAGACAGTTCTGGAGAGAAGTGTCCAGGAGAACTGACTGATTTTCCAGGATCACCTCCTTCAAGGTGAAGAACAGTCCATCCAGATCAACAGGAAATGACACAAAGGCAGCAGGAGGCCTGCATGGATGAGGAAGCACCTCCTGACTAAATGCAAATGTGAAAAGGAAGTGTACGAGAGGTGGGAGCAGCGTCAGGTGACCCAGGAAGGCTATCTGAGGAGTGGGGTCAGGAAAGCTTAGATAAGTGCACAATGAGGGGTGTTGAAAATGAGCTGAGCTGCTGGGCTCAGAGTGTTGTCATCAAGGGTACAAAGTCTGGTTGGAGGCCAGTCACTAGTGCAGTCAATACTGGGATCCAGTACTGTTCAGCGTTAATGTCCTGAGTGGTGCGACCAAGTGAAACTTCAGCTTCTTTAATCCCTCTCTCCCCATCAGAAGAAGATGGAGCCAGATGCGTCTCAGTGGTGCCCACTGACAGGACAGGAGTTAATGGGCACAAATTGAAATAAAGGAACTACCAATAAAACTTTTTTACTGTGGGATGATCAGATACTGGAATAGTTTGCGCAGAGAGATTGTGGAGCCTCCATGCATGGAGATACTCAAAACCTGACCGGACGGGGGCCCTGCTCTAGCTGTCTCTCCTTTGAGCAGGGGTATTGGAGCAGATGGGCCCTTCGAACCTGAAGTATTCTATGATTCTGTAAGACAACTGCAAGTATTTTATATAGGAAGTGACAAAACTTAGATTGAATTAAATATCTCCTTGTGACTTACAGTAACTGTGCAGCAGAATGAAGGAAGTAGTTATGAAAAAATGTGAGCCTAGCTGTACTGGTGGGATGCTGTATTTGGTTATAGTGTAATCTATTTATCCAGGTTTCAGTGTTGTGCCAGTTACAAACACTGATTCTCTTGACAGATTTAAAATAAGGTTTATTTTTTTTCTAAGCCACATCATTTTATCAGAGGATTTTATTGTACAGATCTTGTCAAAGCAGCACTGTGTACAGCCTATTTATGTACAATAGCACAACAGCACGCTGTGGTTAAGATTACAGGGAAAACATTGTACTAAGTTATGTAAGCCTAATGATGTAAACATTGACTATTACAAACACAAACAAAAATGTATGAATCAAGTAGTGTTTTAAGATTCTAAGCAATTATTATTTGCTTAATATTTTCAGATTTCAGAAAATTTTTGATCAAGAGGCAAAACAAGATGTGGTTTTTGACAGCGTTGCCAAACCAGTAGCAGAATGGTACGTTGTTGATCTTGCGAGTAATCGGGGTAACACAGGGTCAAAAATAGCTTTCATTGTATTACTTGGAAGAGAACTGGCAAGTGTTTGACTCACTGTTGTAAAAGTGGATTGATGTTTTCATTTTCTGAATACTGACATGTCTGAATCTAGAAGATATGCAACAGTCCCATGAGAATTTTATGTATGGTGAAGTTCAATTTTTAGCTCCTAAAATAGCACTGTTACTGTTGCCTCTTTTTTTTTGCATAGGCATAGAAAACCATGTCTAATTAGTTTTTTGTCTACAATACAAACTCACTTCGTTGCCTTAGAAAAGTGTTCCCTATATAGTTTTATGAAGGGGTAAACCTAACAAAAATCTTATACCTCTGTTTAATTTTCATGAAGTTAGGGAAACTCATGAATTAATACCTATGGAGATATTCTCAAATTTTGCCCTTGTTATTTTTGTCTTAATATGTAAGGCAGTGATTTTTGGCACTGTTTTTGTTTTTCTCCCCCATATAATAATCAAACAATGCTCATATTTTAGAGTTTGCAAAGGCAAGCATTTACAACTGATGTAGAAGCCCTCTTCATTCATTGTGTGGATTCAAAGCCACTCTGAACTGGGTGGATTTTCCAGTATGCCATTCTCTTTGCTCAACTTATGCCCACATTGTTGAAGTTAGTTCTGGTTTTAGCTGGGGAGAAAATTCTACACTGAAGGAAGCAGAATTTCTTCATGATTTTTGTTTGTTTATCAAACTTACTGCTCAGAATCCAAACTTGTAGTGAGTTGAGAAGTATTACTTTAGGTACCAACTTCTTTCTCATTCATTGTCTGACCCATACGTTGGTTTAAGCTATGATTCTGCAAGTTATTCTTCAGCCTATTGCACTGTCATGTGTTTTGCACTGTAGGAAAACAGATATCCTCAGTTGGACACTTAGTCTTTCTCAAATTGATACTTGTAAGTAAAAATATGCCTAGCTCTTTATAATTTCATTTTGTTGATTTCCCTCCCCTATTTTCTTCTCAAAAATCCCACATAAAGCAGGAGGGTAATTGACAGTGAAAATGAAGAACCAGTGAATTTGAAACTTCACTAGAATAAGTTAAATATGCTTTAAAAAGAAATTTGTTGTATTCTTCCTTCACCCAAAAGGGATTTCTTTGCTTATCTGACTTTATAACATGTAGCTTCAGGTTAACTCATTTACTTAACTTTAAATATTTCTGGGTTTAATGATGACTGCAGAAAAAAATTCTTTATCTTATTTGATTGTACCTGGAAAGAGAAGGGTTAAAAGTATCCTTGTTATATGCTATGGATTGAATTATCCTCAGCAAAATCTCAGAGTATCAAAGCTAACTAGCAACAGACTGACTGATTATTTTTTTTCCCCCTTTGGAGTGTTTTGCTAGAATATGGAAAGGTTTTTCAGTTGAATAATTCACCTATACAGTGCTCTAATAAACAGGAAGTGGTATTGTCTTCCTTTATGTCAGTGTTGGCTGATACAAGATTTTTATACATTCATTTGCTCTATTATGTAGACTTTATTTTTGATTTTTAGATATTTTTAGTACTTGAAAGTACTTAAGTGCTATTAAAATCAATGGTGTTTAGGCATATGATTGTCTCCAAATAGCTGAGTCTTTAATGCCAAAATCGATTTGTAAAATCATTCATAACTGCATCAAGACAATTTTGACTCTGAGTGTTATAATGTGTTAAAGCTTGTGTTCTAATTGATGTTGTTACTGATAATAATACTGAGGGATAATTTTGCTTCTGTTTTTATAACAGAGTAGGCAATACCTGTGTGTTCCTGTTTCTCACCGTCTTCCTTAATTTTGCATTTTCTTAGGCAAAAATACATGTTTCAAAATGTCTTCATAGTCATTAGGTTCCTTGGCTAATGGAGTCCTGAACAGTGCCTGAAATTTATTTCACTCTATAGTTAATGACTCAATTTTCCTTTCCATTGTGGGACAGTAAGAAAGTCTTTCATAGCAAAATGTTCTTCATTATTTGTTTTTTTCTAGGTCAACATTGTCTTGCAGGGAAAATCTGTTGAAATGCACTCATTTCTGTTGTTGGAGCCACTTTACTGAGGGAACAGTTTTTTGTCTGTGTATGGCCAGGGAAAAGAAAGTAGCAGGAAAGTATCAATGAAATATTTCAGTAACATTTTAAGGCTCTTTGCCATGCATACTTACAGTCATGAGAAAATTCCATTAAAGACTTGAATGTGCATAAAAAAAATCTTAGGCATTGTTTAAACTAAAAACAGCAATACAATGTTCAGGATTCTAAAGTCTTTCTAGTTTGTTCTTGTGTGGATGGAAAATGGATGCAACTTTCTTTTTTCTTTTTTTTTTTTTTTTTCTCTTTTTAAGTGTGCTTTCTTTGATGTTGGACCACTACTTTCCTCTCTTTAAGTCCAGTAACACTGTCATCTTGCCTGTGGTTTCAGAGGCACCAGACATCAGTTTGTTTAATTTGCTTCTTCAGTGAAAAGTGCCAGCCACTGCAAACCATTCTAAGCTTGTGATTTGCTTGATCTTTTTTTTAATTATTTTTTGTTAATGCTTGACTCATATCTTACACGGTTTCTTTTTATCATTTGTTTGTGCTTTCCTCTTTTCCTTTTAATTTTAAATATATATTCTTGATACTAGTTTTTTTTTTTTTGGCAGGGGGCAACTTGCTCTTTAAGAAGTAGCACTGTCTCTATTACTCTACCAGAAATAAAGAAAATAAATAACATCCTTCTTTACAGTTTGCTAACAATTAAGCATTGCTTTAGTCTAACAACAGAACAAGGTTGCTCTTACAGTTCTTCAAATATTAGTGTTATGATGATGAATGCAATCGGAAATTAAGTAGAAAATCTTAGTGCTTTGGATTAATTTTGTTTTCAGTTCTAATATGGCCAATGTTTTGTGTTGATTTATTAAAGAATAACATTAAAAATATTTTCTCTTCAGATGTATAATTCAAATAAGGAACAGCTCAGCTGTTTATAAACCTAATGGCAATCACTTACCTTTTTGAAAGAACTGATAGTCTCCAGGATAATACTCCCATTGCTGCAGATTTTAGTTTCTTCTCTTGTGCTGTGTTTATCCTAAGAATTAGCATCTGTAATATAGAAACTACTTCATTTTACTCTTTTCTGGTTTGTTTCTTTTTTCTGCTGCTTATTCTTACAGAAAAGGTAGTAAAAATATTTGTGTTAACAATTACCCATTCTAGCCTGGAGATATTTGTGAAACAGTGTGGGAAGTAGTGGCTTGGCTGACGTGCAGGCAACCGTGCATCACAGCTGTATTATTCCTAAAGTGGGTGATTTAGGTACAGAAGACCTGTAGAATCCATATAGTAAAAGGACACTAATCTTTTTGGATGTCACCTTGAAACAGGTGTGGCTTAAAATCTCCCCTAAATCGAGAAACTGGAGCAGTATTGCTAGCAGTTCTTTCTGAAATTGAGTACAATTATGGGGCAACAAAAAGTGAAAAGCTTCATTAATGTTTCTTCTCAAATGACTATTAGTTCCTCATGTTTATTTTTACTTAAATAGCACAGTTTAGAATTGTTCAAGAAGGCTGCTTATTATAGGTTACAGTTTGATAGCTTTGATTTAGAGTATATTTGTGTCACTTATCTTCTGCAGTTCTTATGGTGGAATTCTAAATATATTTAGTGGAAGCCTTTGTGAAATTTTTAAGGAAACTTGCTTGCACTAAGCTCTCAAAAACACAGTTACATGCACATTTGGAAATTGATGTTGTTTTTGAAAGATGAGGCATTACCAAATTAGATTTGTTCCATAAATCTGGCAAAGGCATAAAGAAAAACTGTCATACTGAAATACTTTGTTTATTTTAATTAAAATAAACTTTAATCTGAGCTCCAAGTGATAGAAGATACCTAAATATTGAATCTCTGTAAAGATAAATCCTCCCTGAAATTTTGTTTTCCAGATCCTGCAAATTAAATTCTTCCTTCTTTTTGTCTTAAATATCATGTATGGGTGCTGGTTTTGCCAGGACTGTGCTGAATTTTTTAAATTTTTTATTTAAATAGGATAATTATGAATTGAAGTTTTCTGAGGTAGAAGGAAGTAAAGTGAGGGACATTGGTGAAATATTTCAAGTCGGCAAGAACTGAGACAAGGAGAGGGCTCAGAGTATCCCAAAATCAAAGATACTGGTGTTTTCTGCTTTTTTCATTAGTCTATTATTTTAATAATTATTGAATATTTGTTCCAACTGCATGCCTTTATGTTACGAGTCCTTTAAAATGAAGGTGTCAGAACTCAAGTTAAAATACTAATATGAAGCTGAAATAAACCAACAAAATCAAAGTAATTAATTTTTAAAGCTGAAATTTGTTTCTTGTTCACAGGATTTTCTCTTATCTACATATAAACACTCACAGATTTTAGTCCTTACTTAATAAGGCCTCTTTTTATCATTTAAACATTTAGACATGTTTTATTTATTCATATTATAAACTTGGTAAAAATCTTTCACTCTGAATTTTTTCATTTTAAAAAAAAAACAATAGTAAAAATTGTGGATGGATTAAGTGCATCTCCTTAAATGATCTTTTTAATCCTTTTGAAGACTGAGAACTATGTCTCGCAATAGGAATTAAGTGTCAGAGCAAGCAAATCTTTTTGCTTAGACTTCATATTCATCGTTGCTGTGATGGCTTTTGATGTTCTGGATAGGCATCATTTACCAGTTGCTGTGACAATTTTTCCACGTTGTCTGTAATACCTGTGCATGTCAAAAACTTGAGAATGAAGTTGTTACTATGTCTTTTTCGTAACGAAGTTTGGAGTAACACAAAAGGAATCAGAACACTCTGACTTCCCTGAGGAAGACTGTCATATTGGTAGTTATGAAACTGATGCATTGAGACTAGGCTGAAGTAAAGCAGAGTTTGCAGCATGTTTTCAGGGACTGATGAGGAATGTTTACTTTTTCCTTCTGATGA